GGGACGTCTCTCTCTCTCTCTCTCTCTCTCTCTCTCTCTCTTCCCAAATACATTCTCCTTTTATCTGTTTTCTTTATGATTTTAAGGGGATTTTTATCTTACCTTTGCTTCTTCTAAAGCAATTTTCAAGCTCCGACAGGAGTCGAGCAAGTCCACTCAGACTTGTTCAAGCAACTCGGCAAGTGCAAGCACCAAGTCCCAAGCCTGAGCCCGAGTTTTTTCACACTGAGAAATACTTATTGCGCTCAGTTCAATCTGGTGTGCTCATCTCTGAATTCTAATTCCAATCTAAGTTACCATTTTTTTTGGCTAAGTCATCCTTCATAGCCCAAGAAATAATAAACCTAACACAGCATAGAAGGCCAACTTGGCAATTCAAGAAAATGAAAATGTCAAAAAAGTAAAATATAACAAAAACAACAATACAGTCTATAGTAGACCAGAAGACAAAGCAGAAGCCAGTTACAAATACATTACTGTCTTTCCTTTCTTTTTTCTTCTTTTAACGCTAGATTCACCAATTTCTTTTCTTTAATCAGCCCATCAAATCTTAATTAATGGCCACAAAAGCCTTGTTTTGTTATGGTTTACTTGTCAACTGCATGACATATGAAGGGTCCTAGTCCATTTCAAATCAAACTAGCTTGTGGGGTCTGGATTGCAAGCACTAGCACACATAAAAATAGGTATCCATAGGTATCCAAACTAAAAAGATGTCAAATACACAGCAATTAAGCTCACAGATCCACCGGACTCCACGAATGTTCCAAGATTCCCATACACAATCAACTAAACAAATCAAGTACATGCTGCCTAGACTAGTAAAAGAGACCATCATGGAGGAACATATTACAAAACAACGGATCATACATTTGCAATGTAGATAAATGATAAGCAGAATTGAGCCAGTTGATTAGTCCATACTTGACACCAAAAAATAATATCACCAATGGTCACATAATTTGATTTGGAAAAGTACTAATCTAAACTGAACCTATACCAATTACACCCATCCTTTGAAATTGTGAAATAGGTAACTACAGATTTTCCTAAAGGTAATTCTTTTTGGGGAAGTAAACTATAAATCATAATATGGGGGATTGTGTAACAAAGACACAGATATGTGCATCGCCCTCGCCTGACATGCATACACATGTCAAACATGCCAACCTTAAATTTGTCACTTCAGCATGACATGTAATCCATTATCTTAAGGATGGGGAGGTGGATATTTAGGTGGCAATAAGTACTTTCACAGTGAGGTTTCAAAAAGAAAGGATACAATAAGTGTCTAGGTTTCTAAAGTTTCAAACATTAGTGTCGTACACTCAATGTTTTGACACGCGTTAAAACTATGGACGCACATGTATATTTGATGAGGAACAACCATATTTCCACTAGTGAGAGAAATGGGACCTGCGATTGGCTTATTGTATACTTCCCATTTCTTTCCATGGGTAAGAGAGGAAGCCAAACTCATCCACCCAAATTAGGGTCAGGGATCCATGTCTCACCATACCCTCCAATGGAGTCGTAGAACCATATGAGCAATAATATCAGCAAAAGCAGTCAAAGCCAAGTTATTCATCTTTAGATCACTGGGAAGCCATTCCTCCAGAGCCCACACAAACATTTCCTCTGAAGACACTACCATTCCAGGTTTACAGCATTTCAAATAGAGAATAATCCTGTAGAACGCATTGTTTCAGTACTCCAAAATGCTATATTTCCCATTCCAACATCCAGATATTGGTCTCAATACTCAACGAAATACAGAAATTTTCAAGTCACTGTATTTTCCCATTCAAAGCATATTACTGATTCCCTATGCCAAAATTAGAAGAGCCGCATTTTGGAGAATAATGCTTAATCACAAACATATTATAGACCAAAACCGTACATCTGCCATACAAGTGTAATTATTGACTAGTTAATATCAATGGATAATAATAACTCAAGCCATACCTTAAAATTAAATTTTATTACACTCTTACTTGAAACCCTGTGTCGGCCTTTGTCTAGGCTCAGCATCCCAGCAAGTCTTATACGACTTAGCCACGTCTCACTGAGTTCCATAGACCTTCATTAAATTATGAGAAGTCTCAACCAAGTCCCATAGGACTGGGCTCGGGACTAGACCAAATTCTGAGAGTCCAAAATTATATGCATAGCTGCAAACTATGCAAGTTAACCATAAAAATCGACAAAAATAAAAAATAATAAAAGGCCTATACATACATACATATAAAGGCCTATGGTTGTTAGGGCAGCCTACAAGCTAAACCAAGGCCAAGCCATGGTGGGCCAGCCCCAAGCCTGGCCTGCAGGCCTTATAGGGATGCCCGAGCCCAGCCCAAAACAGTGGCCCACGAGCCGGTCCAGCCCAAATGGATGTCCTAAACTTTAGCACTACCAACAGGCCACATTCAGGCCAGGCCATTCTTGGCCCCAAACTTCTAGGCTTGCCAGGGCCAGAAATTTTAGGCTAGGTAGGCGAAGGCCTCGTAAGGCTATCCAACCCAGTCAGGAGGCCGGCAGGCCAGGTCCGATTAATTGGGCAGCACTTGTGAATATGTGAAGCTTCAAAGTTGAGAGAAATGTATTTTGTGAGGCCCTAGGAAATCTCTTAAACAATGCACATAACAATGATTTATAAACATTTGAAATAACTAAACTCTCTATTTTGCTAATCTTTCAAAATCAGCTGAAGATTCATTGCACACTTCAAATGCTTTAATTCTACAAAAAGCTAGCAGAATGTACCGGAACTACAAAAATTATATTAAATTGTCAAAATTGCTCGTATAAGAATGAGTAACCCAGGCTCCTTAAAATAACCACCTCAAGAAGTAATTCCAAAAGGTTACAGGAAACAATAATACAAATTCAAATGAGGGACAAAAAAGATGTATGTAACCAACATTCCCTTTTGTTCACCAAAATTTAAGGAAATAGACACACTGACAAGAAATCATACAAAAAAACCCCAAAAACTCACTTCGCGTAGCAATTCTACCACAGTTAACCAATAGATTATCAACAAGAAGTCTAGAACAACATAAATTAATTGATATGACAAATTAAGGTCAGTAGTATTACTTGTGAGTTGTGACTACTAAGTATGCTCATTAAAGCATTGTGAAACCAGAAGTCCCTTACCTTCTCCACATGGAGATTTCCTAGTAGTGATGTGCAAAACTTTGGTAGGCATCCTTACTGGTCCCTTGACTTTTAGCCCCTTATCCTTTCCTCCACGCACAAGATCAGCACAGACTATAGAATGGAGCAAGATTCAAAGCTAAATTAAATTACTTAATGGCTGTCTACTAAGCAATAAAATAACATAATAAATAGAAAATATGAAGAGAACTTTCAAAATGATAACATACCCTTCTCAAGATTCTTGACATTCTTGGAAGACAGAGTAATTCTGATGCGATTAAGGGGCACCTGTGGTTCTTCCAATCCAGCCTTCATAGGCTTCATCATACCCAACGCCATTTTCCCAAGGTTGTACTTTCACTGAAAAAAACCCAACAAATTTTCAGGTCAGTGAAAATTATGCACCAAAATGAATTAGTGTTGCAAGCCACCATGATGGGGGAAAAGCACAACAAGCATGGAACTCCTACAGGAAAATGACTTACTCTCCCCTACCCCCTTCCCGTCCCTCAGGCTCACCCACTTATGTACAACTGATCATAGTTTGGATCAAGGATATTTAGTTATTTACAGATATAAGCGTTTGTTAAAGCATATTTCATGTTTTGAGATGTGTTGGTCAGACGTCAGTTGCGACTTGCGATAATTCTCCTTTTGAAGTGTGCTTCTCAAGCCTCAGGTGGATCACCATGTGCAAGGATTTCAGTCTCGGCAACCTCAAAAACCTATTTTCTCGTATTATTTGAAAGAGATTTATTCTCTTCAGTTGACAAAGCATGATTTCGAATCCAAATAGCACAGCTTGTCTAAGAGTTTGTGCAGCAAGAAGAAAATGATCAAACCATGGATTTTTAGGAGGAGAGGACGCCATGGAAAAGTTTGTCTAACTTGTAGAATGCTTTCCATTTCTTGTTTGGGAAAATATACTATGGATCCCCAATTTCCAAACTTATTTATATTAGCCCCTCCCAACTTTTCTCTTTCAAGCAGCATTAAATTTTTCCAAAAACTACTGATGTTCCCCCTCTTCCCCCCCCATCCCCTATCTTCTCACTCTATTTCATGAAATTTGACATTAACAATTTCCCTTATACCAGATAAGGACATCTTGCTTCCATCCATTTCTTTTTTACTTCATGTGGTATAAGAGAGACTGAGATCTCAAAGTTCATGTGAAAGAGTGAGAAAAGAGAGGGGAAGGGGATGAAGGGGTACATTGATACTTTTAGGAGAACTTTAATGCCGCCTGAAAGAGAAAAGTTGGGATGCGTTACCACAAAATAAGTCCAAAAATTGGGGATCCATACAATATTTTCCCTTCTTTTTTTCCCCGGTAAGAGATATCTCTTGTCAGGTCGTAACATTCTAGGGTGTCTGATATGGTTATGAAGTACAAATTTTACTGATTTCAATGTTAATAATGAAATTTGAGTTAACAAAATAGCATATAAGAAAGTTGCAGCTCAAGCATAAAGTTGTGAAGAATAAATGGAAGCTTCGAAACAGGACGGCAAAAAGTTGCTCTAATTAAGAAATAGATAGGCATCTACACAGTGCGCAGTGGGATATACTAGGTTCATAAAGGATCCCATATATGCAAATACTTAGGACTTTTATATCCAAACAGCAGAAACCCATATTTAAGGAGTCAGGACATACTTTTCGCAATAAATATATTACATAGAAAGTATATTCTGTCAAACAATTTTTTAAAATAAAATATTTAAGGAGTCATTTTTAAAATAAAATGACTGGAAACTATAGATATGAAAAAAACGTTAATCGAACTCATGCTTTGCTTAAGAGGTCTAACACTCCAGCAGGTTATACATATGGACCAATGACCATGCCGAACACGTTAGGGACCAGTATACTAGGGGGCTTTGCTCATTGCCTACTCGGCCTTCACTAACAAAGAAGATTAGCAGCTAAAAAGAAGATGAGTAGCTAAGATTCTGACATGAAGGCAATAGCTTGGAACTAGTACTGCTCAAGAACATGATATTTGTTGGTCAAGTGCTGACCGAGCTTGTTCTCCCTTCACGGCTTATGTTTGATATCACCAGCAAGACTTGGGTATCAATATCATCCATTTTTTATTTTTTGGGTATGGGTAGTATCAAGAAGTGTGTTTGCACTTTGAAATTCTAGAGAAAAACTTTTAAAATCTTTTTCAAACAGAAGATATAAAATAACAAGAAAGGGGAAAAAATATCAAAACAATAGAACTACACACACTAGAATTGCTTAGGGCCCATTCACTTGTGCAGCTAAGCAGCACATGGTAGTTATATCCAACGCACCGGTAAAATGGGTTTTTTGTGAAGCCGTTTTTGCTTCTAAAGCAACATCAAAGGCCAAAAACAGAATCCTAGGGCTCTTTCTCTTTTTTTTTTTTTTCCAAAAGCACTTTCTCACCCACCAAAGAGGCCAAAGGAAGTAAAATAGGGGGAAAAAAGCATTGAAGAGTCTCATGATTCTTCTTGGCTTTGACCTAAAGGTTGGAGACAGAGGTATTCAGACTCCTGAAATAAAAAGTACATGTAAATGTGATAACAACGTTATGGACTGGTGGAGGGTTATTAACAAAATATGATGAAGAATGTGAATAATTAACGATAATCAAGCACAGTACAGATACATTTTCCAGCCCACCAAAAATTGAAAAATATCCCAATAAAAAATGCATCTTTTTATTGCATTTCAGTTGCAGCTTTTCAGTGTCGTGTATATATAAAATTTGAGTGGTACATATAGCTTGCTAAGGAGTAAATAGTACAATTTCTCCAAGGGAAAACCACCTGCTTAGAAGAATTTCTTTTTATCTAAAAATCTGCAAAAACATCTCCAAATCAACCAATGAACAGTTTTACAATAACATGTATATCCAGCTCTTGAAGATCTAGAACTAACTGTCCATTAAGTAGACTATATGCAGTTCACAATAACATGCTTATAGAGCTCTTCAAGATCTAGATCTAACTGTTAATTAAGTAGACTATATGCATTATCTCAAGAGCACTATCCAGAGCATGAATAAGAATTGGTCAAACCACAATTTACTTATTTTACAAAAATATAATACTCCATCAATAACAATATCCTTTCGATGGATTAAAAAAAATAAGAAAAATTACAATGACATGTACAGATTCAGAGAATTGACTGTGAGAGAGAATATCAACAATAAATAAAAAAATGCTGAAAAATTATTGACCTGCTTTTTAGAAGAAACTAATATCAGAGCCATATGAGCACATATAATATCAAAAAGAACATTGAACGCATAAGAAATAATTCCTCCTGGTTTATAAACCTAACCCTAGATTAGATTAGAATGGGAAAATATGAATGGAAATTAGATTAAAATGGAAAAAAATGAATGGAAATGAGGGAAGGCGTGAAAAATGGGAAAAAATGAATGGAACTGAGGGAAAGCATGAGATTAAGGAGGCATGGAACGTACCTGTATGGAGATGAGAGGAGGCGAGATGAGCTGAGGAGTTGATACCCTACCGATGACACACTTTAGCGCGCGCGAAGAAATTAGGGTTTATAGGTCTGATTGATACAGCAGTACCAACGCTAAATGACAGAAATGATCCTCAACTTTTTATGAATTCCACTATGTATGGTACATTTCTTCTAAATAAAAAAGCCTAGGGTGCCTAATACATACCTTGGAGAGAGAGCACTTGGAGAGGAAATTGTGATTTAGGCGAGAGAAAGGGAGATGAGTATGTGAGAGAAGGAGATACAGAGAAAAATCAAGGAGAGAGATAATTTAATATATATCTTGCTTAAATAGGTAAGTTCTTCTAATTTTTTATAAAAATCACATCTTTATTTATAATAACCTATAGATATTACAAATGGAAAAAGTTTATATAAGGTTGCAACCTTAAAATGTAAAATTACATATGCATCTCAAAAATCTATCAAAAATGTTGTTTTAATGTTGAAAAACCCTCTAATTGATCCTCTCGACATTGAGATGTATGAATAAATAAATAATGAGTTATATAAATGGTGCATCTTCCAACACATTATCTAGACCGTCCATTTTCAAGATTTTCATATGTTTATAGATCTACTTGATTTTAACCATTTTTTGAGTATAAAATTGTATAATTAGATATGAAAATAGGTTTTAAGATAATCCTAAGAATTTTTTACATCAAAATTATATGCTATAATAAATTTTGGAGGTGTGTGGATTGTTTGAGGTTGCAACCACACCCAAGGTGTGGCTTGTATAGAGCCGAGGCTCTAAACAATCATAGTAAAGCGACACTTTCAAATACTATCGAGAAATGTGCTTTTAATACTGAAAATCTTTGTGATAGCTTTAAAATATATTTTCATCTTTAATTATAAATTTTAAAGCTTCAAAAATAATGTAGATCAAGCAGATTTATAAAAACTTGAAAATCTTGAAAATTGACGATCAAAAACTGCATTACAATATACACTATTTCTAAAACTTGAAATCCATTTTCTTTTCATGTCCATGCATCTTGATGTCTAGATGATCAATTTGCGGATATTTGGGCATCAAAACAAACCTCTTCTAGTGAAATTTTTGAGGTGGGATCTAATTTGATTGTTTAGAGCCTCGGTTCTATACAAACTTTTTCCAATATAAATAGCATTTCAAATACTTCTACTAATTGGTGATATGACATTTGCACTGAGTCATGAATAAAACAACTAATAAGTTGTCACGAAGTTCCATTACGAGTTTATAAAACATGCAATAGCAAATTTCGTTAAATAAAGCTACAATATAGCAAGGCCTTCCATAAATTATCTATGAAACACACGAGGTTAGGAGTTTAGGACCTAATCCACATCGTTGGCATAGACATTTGACATAAGTTGCGTATGGGCCATGCCATCTCCAAACCAAGATCGATAATATGTGCATAAGAGGGGTAAATTATGTTCAAATTTACCAGAATATGAACTACCCTACTAGCATATGAGTTAAATGGGTACTTTGCAAAATAATCGAAAAATAATCCTCCCAACCAGGCCAAATCATCCTCCTCGTCCCTTCATCTAACCAAAACCACCATGATTAGTGGGTTTTTTTTTTAAATAATTTTTTTTTAATTTCTAATTTTAAAGTTTTTTATTTTTAATTTATAAAACAATAATACCCGAACATAATCCTCCCAACCATGCCAAATTATCCTCCTCGTCCCTTCATCTAACCAAAACCAGCATGATTAATGAGGGTTTTCCTTTCTTTCTTTTTAGTTTTAAATTTTTATCTCCTAATAGAGCCACTTCAAATTTTTAACCCTTTTTTTGAAATCCATAGATCTAGAAATTAGGATTCTTTTATCACTTAAAAAATGGAGGGGCGCTATCCTATAAATGAAGTGCCTTTTAGCACTCAAAAAAAGACATAGAAACATGCAACCCACAAACCATTATGGAACAAAATTGTTAAGTTGTCTTGTTTCAATTCTCCCTTTTCAGGTTCATCACATATCTAGGCATCCAATCATAAGAAAAGAGCATACAACTACCTGAGCTCTTTATTTTGCTCTTCAATAATCAGGATGTAGGTTCCTCACCGATGCAAATCGGAGTAGATCTGTTTCATGGAGGGGTGAATTGTTTTTTGTGCATTCACAAAATACCATTAAAAAAAAAAGCAATTTGTCGGGAATAGCAATTATCTCAGTCATAGTGTATAAAATTATCAGATTCATGAACCAATTATCTTCTTGAAATCATTAGGATGAAGAGAAGCTTAAAGCATGTAAAAAGATTGAATATGCATCTATTCCTTTATGCAAGTCTAATATAGAAAATATGTTATAAGAAAGACACACAAACACAAAAAGAATAACTCATTCAAATGATAAAAACAAGGGAAAAAAAAGTAAATGTCTTTTGATTCCCTCTTTCTTCTGGATAGAGCAAAAATGTAGGGTAAATATAGTCAAACAGATTGCATCAACAACTAATCATGCCATAAGAGCATATTATTTGAAAAGCAGATGGCTAGACCGAGAAGAATCATGGAGATCATTGTATGCTCTTGAACCGCACCCAATTTGGATGAAGAGGAGCTCAAACCCATGAGATAGAATGCTCAGAATATATAATACCAGAGTGGAGATATAATTCTAGAACAAATGCACAAAAATGCTACCCACAAACTGGGAGAAGAAACGACTAACTCCGTATTCAGTTTTACTCCATATTCAGTTTTCTTTGAGACTAGTCACACCAGCTTCAGATTTCATCCAAGCATCAGAAAATCCTCAAATACCTCAGTCCCATAAATTCAGATGTTTTTCATAGGCAAAAAAAAAATCATCATTGAAAATATTATGCATCTATGTACCATCCAAACGGTAAAAATCTACTTTATAGGAAATACTTTTATCAAGAAATATATTCCAATGGAATAGATTTTTTCAGGTAATCTTTTTCCATAGATCGTAACGGCCCCAAAAAGAAAAGGACCAAATAAAATAAAATACGATTTCATTGGCAGTCAAACATTATAACTAAGAGGTTAACCCATAATAATTCTTCTAGTTGGATTATTACGTCTTTCGGATTTTATGAACTATTGATATTGTATTTTCAATCTGAAGCTTTTTCGAAAAATAAAAAGTAGGTGTATGTATGTAAAATTTTTAAGGGCGTCATTCATATAAGGTGTCAACCTTAAATAATCAAAGTAAGGTGCACCTTAAACCTTGCTAAGAGATGCAATTCCAATGTTTGAAACCCTTATAATAGCCCAAAAATTTATTTTCGCCTTGATTGTGAAATACAAAGCTCTAGACCGAATACATCTATAAACACTTAATTTTTTGACAAGCGGTAGTCTACTACATAATAGTACAAGATGCACTATTTTTAGTAATAGAAATCTTTTTTCCTTATATCTATACATCTTACGGCCAAGATGATAAAATATAATGTTTTTTTATGTTGGAACAACCTTTTCCGATAGATTTTTGCTATATCGAAATATTATGTGCATCAAAACAAATACACAAGACTTGAGATCATTCAAGAAACTAGAATGTTTTTTCGAAAGAAACCTTTCATCTCACGATTAGATTATTATCTTGAAGCCCTTCCCAAAGCCACTTCAACGAATTCATTCAAAAGTATGGAAACCATAAAAGAACCCGTGAGAATTGACATCAGCCTTTTGAAAACCCGCATAGGATATGTGTATCTGATTTACAATTTGACAACACTTCTACATGAAGATAAAAAGCTAAAAATCAATGGGCATTTCCGTAAGATTATACAAAATAAACATTTGAAGTAATAAGAGTTTGGAAGACCTGTTGTAACTTCTCGGCATATGTCAAAAACTCTAGAATTGAATACAAATGTCAAAGGATATGTTAAGATTCGAGAGAGCAAACATGAGAATAGAAAATGAAGAGAGAAGAAGAAAGATAACACAAGATTTACTTGGTTCAAGCCGAAGCCTTACTTCCATATATCCAAAGTCCAACTGGCTATCTTCACCATTTTGGATAAAGATTATACAAATATGTGCTTCTCTATATAGAGGACAATGATAATGAATCTTTGAGATAGAAGTAAATCGTAGGATGCCTGTTTGAATAGTCTGGCGTGGCATGCTTGAATAGTCTGCAAGAGTGAATAGATGTGATATGGGACACGTGATCACCAAACGTCTGGTATAGTCTACAAGAGTGACTAGATGTGATATGGACACGTGATCACCAAACGTCTGGTGAATAGTCTACAAGAGTGAATAGATGTGATCTGGGACACATGATCACCAAACGTCTCGTGTGCTTGAATAGTCTGTAAGAGCGAAGAGATGTGATCTAGGACACATGATCACCAAACGTCTGGCGTGGCGTGCTTGAATAGTCTGCAAGAGTGAAGAGATGTGATCTGGGACACGTGATCACCAAATGTGGTACAAAGACTATTAAATTAGACCACTAAAAGTGCTACAAACGTACAACGAAGACGACTCTATGACAAATAGTGGCAACGAACACTAAAGATTGGTGAAAGCTTCTCCTTGAAAAATCTGCTAATCATGAATGCGCTCCTGATGATGTCTCACCATCATGAATGTGCTCCCCCTGACGATGTCACACCGTCATGAATGTGCTCCCCCTGACGATGTCACTACACCAATAGTGTGATGAAGTCGTCTGCTACATGGCGAGGTGCTAGGAGCAAATAACGCGCGAGATAACTGAAAAATGCACAAATATCGGCAAGAATACGTAAATACCAGCAAGAACTGATGTTCTTGTCTACATAGCGGTTATATTAAAGATGTTGACTTTATCTCTACTCATCTTATCTAATGCTTATGAAATTGAGCTTCTAGACAATAGCTCATATTTTAAAAAAATATCACTCATTTTTTTTTTCTTTTCTTTTCCACATTTTATTTATTTATTTATTTTTTGCCACATTTTTTTTTTTGTAGAAAAAAAGAAGAAGAAAGCTACTAAATATCTTCAAAATTTGTGGCTTGGCTTCTGGTGACCTACAAGAAAACCCCCAAAACCAAGAACATAACATAGGA